CCAGCCCCGCCCCGCCCCGCGCAGCCTGGCCTCCCGGGGCTGATGGCCCAGCGGGTCTCCCCCTGCAGCCAGTTTCCAGGCGGCGGACCGTGAGCGCCTAAGGGCGTTTGTGACCCGGTGGGGGTGGGCGCAGAGAGGCAGCTGGTGAGCAGGGGGAGGTGAAGGGGCAGTCATGGCCCTGGGGACACATTTCTCTCCCGCCCTGCGCTCCAGCCAGAGGCGCAGAGGGCTGGCAGGGAGGGCAGGGGCGGGCTCTGCCAGGTCCCTCCCCGGTTGGGCCCACCTGGGTCTCAGGGGCCTCTCGCCTCTCACCCCCAAGCTGTCCTCTGTCCTGGCCACCAGACGCCCAGGAGGCGGCACCGAGCGCTGGAGCCCAGGACTCCGCGCCACATCTAGAAAAGGTTCCAGAAAGGGCTGGGCGCAGAGAGGGGCCTACACCAAGGCCCACATGCTGCCCTAGGGCGGCGTGACTTAGGGTTTCTAATCCCCCCAGGAAGCCACTAGTGAGCTTCCTGGTGCATAACGTTCCAGGGGTGTGCACACCCCAGAAGCCCAAGGCAGAAGTGCTCTGGTCCACCACCCAAAGGCCCATCCCCAACACAGTCCCCCCACTGCCTCCTGGACCCAGAAATTCACTGATCCAGGACAGATCCAGAATCTAACACAGAGTTCCCACATACCTGCATTCTAGAGAAAGAGCCAACCGGCCATTAGTCACAGTTAGCTAACCGGACCCAAACAACAGAACCATCCCTGTAAACACCCATGCGCCCGGGCTGCCCCTGTGGCTAACCCCGCATGCGCCCATCGCCCTGCAGCGTCAGCCACGACACACACCTCCCGGGCACAGAATTATGAGAGGGTAGAGAAGTCCCACACAGCCCAGCAAGGCCGCTCCTGGTGCTCACGGCCCAGCCCAGGTCTTGTCGAAGGACCTCCCAACCCGAGGGGCTCTCCACAGCTCCGACCCCGGGGCGCAGCTCTCTCCTGACCTGGAACACAATATCCCTTCAATGCATAAGCCCGTTCTTGGCCATATACCATCCAGTTAGAACTCCAAGTTAACACACCCACACCCAGAATCAAAATTGATGCCAGCCCCCTTTGTAAGCTGGTGGGGTGAATCCAGAACCCCTGGAAGCTACTGACCCAGAGCTGAGCTGGGACTGAGCCCTTCCTCCTGGCTCCAGAGGGTTCCAGAGTGGAGGTCGGGGCTGATAGGCGCCTCAGGGACTCCCAACCCAAAGCTGGGGTCCAGGACCAGGAGACCGTCACCCTCTCAGGCTGTTTTTAGGGCCCGGTCGTACTGGTCCTCCCAGGCCTAGACCAGCATCAGACGCAGGGGTGTCATGGGTGCCTGGGGTCGGTAGGGATATTATGTAACAGGGGGGTTGGAGG